TTTACCTCGAAGAAAAAATAGAGGAGGCTTCTCTCAAAGGAGAGAAGCTAAATCCATCCGCCTGCCACCCTCTTCATTTTTTTTATTTAATGTACACTAAACACACGCACACACCAACGTCTATCCCCCTTCCCCTATTCTTCTTCTTTTATATAATAATAACAATTTATTATTATTTTTATTTTTTAAAAAATTATAATTTAAGATTTGGATTTTATTCTAGGTTAGATCCAAATAATAATTTTTTAACTAAAATTATTTATATCTAAATATTTATTTAAAATTACTCATTTACCTTTAATTAACTTAATTAATCTTGAATTAAATTTTGAAATGTTACAAAATAAACTTTTTGAATAGATAACATAAAGACTATTGCCTATAAAGGTATTTTCATTGCAACATCTAAAATATGTTCTCTATTCTAATAAGTAACAAAAATATAAAGGTTGCCTTTTAAATATTCTTTTTCACAACATTTAAGAGTTATTGCTTGTTGTTTTACTACATATAAAAAATTAGTTTAATTTTTTGTATACTTTTTATTTGTTTATTCTCTTAACTTTTAATTTATTATTTAGATAAATTCAAAAATTTATTTCACAACTATCTACACATATGTATTATTTTGCTTTACATTATCTAAAAGTCATGTTGAAAGATTGATTAGAGTCACCACATCCTTTCATGAATCCTAGGTGTAGGCTGAAATATTAAATCTGAGTTATTTAATAATTCTACAATAATTCCTAAATATTGTCTATCTTATGTTATAAGTAACATTTCTAAACCATTGCAATAGGTTTTTAAAAAAATATTGTTTATTTTCATAGTTTGAGGCAACAATTTTTCAAGCAAATAATAAGCAACCTTTACATTTGAATCACTTGAAAATTGTTGCCTTTACTTTTAAGCAATAGTTTTCAAGTCTATTGCAAGTGCAATAATTTTGACTTGGTCCTAAATAACAAAATTGTTGTGCTTTTCATTGTTTAGTGTAGTTGTGCTTTTCATCTTCATTTGCTTATTCACTCACTATTATAGAAGGGGATATCTACATTGGTTAAATTAGGTATCTACAACCGGTATAGATAAAATTGGTATAGAAACCATATCTATATCTACACCAATTATAAATATTGTTAAAATTAAGTACTTCTTTTTTTCATTTGTTTTTCCCCTTTACTTCTTTAACTTTCTTGTTATTGATGGTTTTAGAAATTGGACTAGCCGATTTAACCGGTTGAATCGGAAACCAATCATTAGTCCGGTCTAATATGTCACATAATTGGGAGGTAATCAAATTGGTCAAGAATCGATAAACTAGTTAACAAACCTCAAAAATTGAGAAAACATACTGGTTTATAGGTTCAAGCAATTTGGTTTGAAAGCAAAAAAAAAAAATCAGATTAGAGAAGCTTAGAGAAAAGATGAAATATGGAGAAATGAAAGATTTGAGGGGGGCAAATGCAAGAAGAGAAGTTATTTTGCTATAAACATTATCTTTTGCATGTTGCTTCAATCATTGGAGGAAAAATGTTACAAATTTATTTCAATCTTTCAAACTGACCACGAAGAGAAATAAGGAAGAAGACCAACTCTCTTTTTGAAATATAGAAAGGGAGCAAGGGATATTAGCTTTTTCCTCCTAAAAGTAGTAGCCATTCCTCTGAAGTCTTGTCATTGCAATAGCAGCAGCAACAACAACAACAATAAATTATATTATATTATATAAACAGGTACTTTTTTTCAAACAAATTTAATGGTAAAGTATGAATGATTTATAAACTTAACTACATTTAGTTGAATATTTTATATTATTTTTAGTTGGCGAAAAAATAGTTGAGTGTTTTTTTAAATTTAATGTTGGTTTTATAATCATTGTAAGATATACTTTGTTATTTTTATATGTATATTATTAAAAAATATTAAATTATTTATAAATATTTTGATTATGGTTCAATCATTAATCCTTAAATTGATACCTTGCTTGATTTAATAATTGGTCTGATTTTTAAAACCTTGTTATTAATATGGTGTGGAAAAGGACTACCATGTTACTTTACCACCCCATTTTTTCTTCACTTCTCTCCTTTTTTTTGGGTAGAATTGGTAATTCAGGTGGGGCAAGCTTATTTAGGTCAAGCTTAATTTGTGCCAATCGTATTTGAATCGAACTTAAAGTATCATACTCTCTTAAAAAGCTCATATAGCGAAGTTTGAACCTAACTTTTTTCGATTGGGTTCGAAATGGCTCGTTGGGTGGCCAAAATTACTAAATTTATATATCTATAAAGCTAGAAATCCTAACTGTCAGATTTATTCGAGTTGGGTTTAATTCAGGCTGAGCTTATTCAAATCGGCTTAAAGTATCTTACTTTTTTAAAAAAACTCTTATAGCTAAACCCAACTTTAATTTTTTTTTAAACAAGTTCAGGTTGGTTTAAATCATCGACTCTATTTGTAAAAAAAAACGTTCCAAATAATTTTTTTCTTCTTGGTACTGGTTTGGGTTTCTTTCGTGAGTTACTACAAGAGACTCATAATACATAGATCAAGTCTCTTATAACATCATAGGTCGCTCCTTACATGGGCCATATCTTGCCCATTATTAATAAGCACTCTAGAGTCTAGCCCGTACTCGAATATTGCCCAATGCATCTAAAATGTCAACTGTAGATGATTTTGGTAATTTTTTTTAAAAAAATCCTTTGTATGATACTCCTTAGTCCTTATGCTCTAAAATATAAATAGTTCTTTTGCATACTAATAAAATTTTTATTCTCATAAAAATATATATTATTTTTTTATCTTTAGTTTTAATTTTTGATGAGTGAAAAGAAGGTCATAAAATCAAATATACAAAAATCTAGATTAATAAATATAATGGGCAAAAAGAAAATTTTTTTAACAAATAATAAATTGATTATATTTTGAACTAAAATTAATTAGGAAAAATGCCTAAATTTTGGATCGGTGGAATGAGATATCCTTATATGGATCCATGCACCACGTCACCCATGTTTCATCCAATGAAAATATGATATTAAATATAAATTAATTCTTTTATTAATGATAGTGGAGAAAAAATATAAAAAATTAAATAGATATTTTATTATAAAAATAAAGTCATTAAAAATAATGACATATAAAATTTTATTTCATTGAATTGGTGCAATTTTATTAGATAAAAAATAAATGATATATGTGATGTATAGGGTCCATGTGTGAATTTTTAGTAGGCAGCATATTTTTTGAAGTTGGTGAGCTACTCCATTTTTTTGAAATGGAAAGGAGTGATTAATACTCCAGCATGAATAATGGAACTTAATATTGTAACAGAGAACAGTAATGGCATTGACGCATAATTTTGCATGAGACCATATAGAGATACTCTTAAACCAACCCATCAAGTCATTTGTAGATTACCTAATAAAATTCTATTATTTCAATCAAATAAAATATTATATATCATTATTTCTATTTTAATGATTTTACTTGTGGAATATGACATTTTTTTATCTTTTTTTTCTTTATTATTATCAATAATAAAACCAATTTATATTTATAATTATATGACATGTCATGTTTTTATTAAATAATAGACGTGAAATTCCAGATTTATATAAAAATTTCCCAAACTGTATATGACCAATCAATAATCCGCTTCTGCACCCCATATATGAAGTTGAAATCTCCAGAGTCTCCATCCCCATTACCCACAAAGAAGCTCGTTTCTTATAGATTTTTTTTTTTAAAATGCAAGTTTCTTATTGATTTTGCTTATTGTGTATGTATGTTCGAATGGATCAGTTCAGATATCATGGGTGATTCTTGCAGAGAAGCTTCAAATATATAACATTGGCTTAAACCTAATTCTTTTTTTATTACATCAACAAATCTTTAATCTCTTCCTATATCTCACCCAGCTTTTGCCATCATATTTGGCTTAAAAAAATGAACACATCCTAATTAAAATAAGATGAACAGTAATTAATTAAATGATAAATTTGCAATATATAATATCAGATTTTAGTTTTGTTCTCCATAACATACAGTATATTGATAATTTTTAAGTATTCCAGCTTGCTTTCTGTCCCACCAACTTCTTAATGTAACATGTCTGGTAATTTTGATTAGGCTTGATTAGTCAACTCAAATAAATTCAAAAAATTTTAGCATTGAGGTTGGGAGTTTAGATAATTTTCTTTATTTTGGACATATTTAGAATGAGTTTGAAGAAATCTAGGCCAAGCTGTACTTGAATCAGCTTAGCTTGAATGCCAGAATTCTTTTTTTATTAGTAATAAAATAAAATCAAAATAAGATGAAATTAAAAAAATTAATTTTTAAAATAAAAATTAAAATTAACTAACAAAATAAAATAAATTTTAATAATTTGAGTATTCATGCCAATCCACTGAATATGTCTGAAAGCCCGAAGTTCAGTGTTGGGCTTGACTAGACATTTATATATTTGGGTATTATAAAACTGATCTAAATTGATCCCAGCTCAAATAAATCTGGCCCCTTAAATTGCTGGATCTAATTTTTCATACGGAATCGATTAGGCTAGTAGAGTGTACACATGTACGGACAGGAAAATCCAAGTTCGTTGGGATAACTTGAGCATTCAGCAACAAAGTTATAACTTAGAAGACACAATCATGATTTTTTTTTTTTGGAAAAAAAGAGAGAAATTAATATAAGTCAAAATATTAAATCAGTAACACCTCAGCTTTTTGTTAAATTCGGTACCATTTTTCTTGTGATTTATAACAAATCTTACGTGCATGCATATCTAAAAAACCAAACCACAACTGTAATGCCGCAAAACACAGCATGATATCTAACTTAATTTAGTGTTTTTTGCTAGTTTAACGACACGACTCGATAATTTCAAATTCCACCAACAAAAAATTCAGATTTCACCCATATATACACAAACACACTATACCAGAAGAACAAGGGAAGAAGAAGAAGAAAGGAGCAGAACAATAATGAAGCTAATCACTTTTTACCCTTTAAGTTTCGTTTTGATTTTGGTTCTCTTTCAAGGCTCAAATGGCTCCGATTTCATTCGTGAATCTTGCACAAAGGCCTCAAAGAATGATCCGATCGTCCTCTTTGATATCTGCGTCAGAAGCCTTGAGGCCATGATCTCTCAGAGCAGTGCTCCACCAGCCAGCCTCGGAGATCTTGTGGCCATGTCGATTCAGATGACTAAGTCCAATGCAACAAACATAGTTTCCACCATTTCCAATCTTTTGAAGGGCCCCAACAATAATAATAAGTTCAGTGAATATGCGAAGGAATGCTTGGAAGATTGTTCTGAACTTTACTCAGACTCTCTCTCTGATTTGGATGACGCCATAAGAGCTTTCGAGTCCCAAGATTTTAACACGGCAAGTATAAAGGTAAGCGCAGCCATGGAAGCTTCTGTTACCTGTGAAGATCAATTCCATGATGGGAACGAAGAGTCTCCTTTAACAGAGGATGACAACATGTACTTTGAACTTAATGCAATGTCTTTGGCTTTCATCAAGATGCATCAATAGTACCTTTGAAATGACTCTGCAACATCTCTCTCTGAACTTTTTTACAGTACTCTTACCAAGCCAGCTATTTCATCAAATGATCATATAAAATGATGACATATTGTATGTATAGTTCAAATTAAAGTCGTTTCTATGGAAATGATGCAAGGTCTTGACGCTTTTCTGTTGAAAGCTGTTTCTGAATTGAATTATTGTTTTACCCGTCGGTTAACGGAGCTATAAACTGAGAAAACCTAGTTTATATATATAATAAAGAGTCAAACTCATTCCATGTGATGAATATTATGCCACGTTAAATTGATGCGTTTCATTTTTGTCTTACAAAATATTGTAATTTATGTTTTGTTCTTTACAAATAATTTAGGTTAGATGATGTAAATCATGTTATGTGGATTTGATGTGGGTTGTATGGATTAGATTTAATTTTTTTTTCGTAAGACTCCACTGATAAAAATTATCTTCCTAGAACAAATGATAGACATCTCTAAACTAAATTGTTATATATTAAAATTTGAACCCCGTCAATTTTAATTGATTAAATAATTTTTTTAATTTATAAAAAAGATTAAAAATTATTTAAATTGGTTAAAGCCAGCCAACCCACACGACTTAGGTTAACTAATTCATTTTTCTTAAAGTTGGCACCATCCTAAAATTATGTGGGTTTGTAAGTTAACCAATTTAACCCGTCTACCCGCATAATTTAAGTTGGAATTCATTTTTTCATATGTTGGTATAACATAAAACATAATCCATTTTCTCCACCAATTCATATTAGGTTGGAATATGATTCATTTTTTTTATGGGTTGGCATCAATGTAATTCATTTTCTCCACCAATTCATACAAACGTGTTCATATAATTCAGGTTGGATCATATTCAATAACCAAATTAGAAGCCATCATGTGGGGTAACCAAAAATAGAAATTTATCTAAAAGTGGGGGCTAAAATTGGTTTCAAATCTTATAAATAAAACCAAACATTATTACAAAGAAGGCTACATACTATATGGCCATATTTGGTAGGTTGGAATTGTGAAGATGGAAATGAAATTGGGATAAGAATATGAATAAAGTAATGTTTGGTAGATATGAATTACAATTTTTAAGAATCCTGATTCCATAAAAAATAGGCTGAATTGAATTCTTTATTTAAAACTATGGAATTAGGAGCAATTCTATAGAATTGTAACATTTAAGACACTTTTACCCTCATACAAATTTCAAAAAGACAAATTTGCCCTCAAAAAAAAAATAAAACCATGACCTCACTCACACATTCATGCTTGGTCACGGCAGAGCGAGAGAAAGTGAGAGCTGTTGTAGAACGAGAGAAGGTGAGAGCTGTGGCGAGATTGAAGATGAGACAGATGACGGACGACGCGGTCTGGACAAATATTTTAGATTTCGTGACCAAGGTATGGAAATCGACTTCTCTCCTCCATTCTTTTTCATCTGTGATTTTATATCCTTCTGCCGCCTCCCCTGTCTAAGCTAGGTTTTTTTCTAGGTATCAAAGCTATAAAGTTACTCGTTTAATGAATAATAGTTAGGTTGTTTGATGGCAATGTTTTCCTGGACAACACATAGTCTTGCTTGTCAGTATTTGTTAAAGAGAAACCTTACATAGAATGGAGTATCAGTTTCTTTTTTCATTTCCGTCAAGCTAGCTCTTTTGAGTGTTCTGTAAGGCAACGATGGAGGTAAAGATAGAATTGGTGATTGTAATAATCCAAATAGCAAAGCCAAAGACATAACTAATTACCACATATCAGGTTGCAGTCAGAACAGTATTGTTTTACGCCCTAGTTTCTTAATAAAAATGCATTAATTAGAAAAACCACCATATTCCTACCACTTTAACTAGCTTGATCATGTACTTAGTATTCTATTATTTGGCCTATAATGAGAAAATATTTCCTACTTGGGTAATGATACTCAAGTTGTGTCTTTGAGAGCAATCAAAACAAATTTTGCGATTACGTTGTTAGTCTTATTTGTCTACTATGTCTTTGATATGCTGTGTGAATTTGCAAAATATTCTCACTTTGAATTTCCAAAAGTTTGCATGTGACATCACAGATAGAGATTAGTAATTACAGATACCGACATACTAATGACTATTGGTTTATCTTTACCTGGCTAGCTCATATTTCAGTGTTTCTCCCGTTTATTTTCCTTACTTGCACATGGTCAGGATATAATATTGAAATGCCTATAACTGGTGGATTTTGTACCTATAACTGGTTTAAAATCAATATGACACAATTTGTGTTTAGTTTAAGATGATTTACTAGAGTTTCATGATTTTCTAGTCTACTAAATATGGGTTTTATGTTAGAATTTTATACTGTTTTTGTTACCAATAGAATTTTATACTATTTCTAGTCTATTAAAGTGATATTTGTTGGATGTTTTAGAATTTTTTATCCTAATATTTAAAATTTGTAACCAATAGTTATGGATCCAGAAATGAGAGATGTGATAGTTTATTTGATGATTTGGTGGATGCATGTTCTTCACTCTATGTATCAATGTTTCTTTGCCATTAATACCACTATAGCCTTACGTAGGAATCGCATTAGTCAAAGGCCATATACGGTAGACTTCTATGCTAATAGAGTCCACTTACGAAACTTGGTGTATAACAGTGACATTACTTCTTATAACCAGCTTAGAATGAATAAAGCCACATTCTACAAGCTATGTCTTATGCTTGATGTTATAGGAGGTTTGAAACCAACCAAAAACATGCTAGTTGATGAGCAAGTGGCAATGTTCTTGCATATCCTTGCACATCATTTAAAAAGTAGAGTTATACGATTTTATTTGGGAGGTCTGGTGAAACTATTAGTAGGCATTTTAATTTGGTCTTAACCTTTATGATGAAATTGAATCGAGAGCTCCTAAAGAAACCTGAGCCAATTGCTGAGGATTCAATAGATGAAAAATGGAGGTGGTTTAAGGTAATCTCATATCTTAATTCACAACTTTTATTAATGATAAAATTTATCTATTCTTTTAATTAATTATTTGTTATTTTTAGCATTGTTTAGGTGCTCTTGATGGAACCCATATTAAAGTGAAGGTGCCTATGGCTGATAAAGCGAGGTATAGAAATCGAAAGGGGGAAATAGCTACTAATGTGTTGGGAGTTTGCTCCCCGGATGGACAATTCATATATGTTTTAACGGGTTGAAAAGGCTCAGAGGCTGATGGTAGAGTTTTGCAAGATGCTATTAGTTATAAGAATGGTTTGAAAGTGCCTCAAGGTAATGTTAATTTATTTTTAAGTAATGATCAATGTAGTAATAAGCTTAAAGTTAATTTCTTTTATTCTTGTAGGCCAATATTACTTGGTTGATGCAAGGTATGAAAATTGTGAAGGATTTCTTGCCCCATTTCGAGGTCAACGATACCACTTAAGTGAGTGGAGGAATGGACGACAGCCTTTAACTCCACGTGAGTGCTTCAACATGAGGCATTCATTTGCGCGTAATGTTATTGAATGATGTTTTAGAATGTTGAAACTACAATGGGCTATTCTTAAGAGTCCTTCATTCTACCCCGCTCAAGTCCATAATCGGGTTATCATAGCATGTTGTCTCTTCATAATTTGATCCGTCGACAAGGAGATGATCCACTGGATATTGAGATAGAGGCATTGGAGACAAATACCAATGATATGGAGATAGCTTACATTCAAACAATTGAGACATCAAATGCATGGGCTAACTTTCGTGATACCTTGGCAAATGAAATGTTTGTTGAACTTATAAGTCATAGGGGTAGTATGTGAGCATTAGAAGAGACACCTAAATCTAGATGTGACTTGAATTCTAGTTGAAAATTTGTGGATGTATGTTTTGTGTAATGACAACATTATGAATGGTTTTATTAGGTGATGTTTGCCTTCTTTGCAATATTGTGATGTATGATATTTTATCTTCACGGCAATTGATTATGTTATGAACTAATGATAATTTTTACTGTTTAAGTAAGATCATGACAGGTGGCGATTCCATAAAGTCAACCCATCATGTTTGGACACCTGAGGAAGACTCTCTTCTTGTACAATCCTTGCTTTAGCTTCGTGATGATGGGACCTTGGTTGCAAACAATGGGTTTAAGGCTGGAGGTTTAAAGAAGTTGCAAAGAATGATAAAGGAGAAGTCACCTGGATGCGGGATACTAGCTATACCTCACATTCAATCTCGTTTGAAGACCTTAAAGACTAGTTGGCAGGTCATATATGATATGTTATATGGCTCAAACACATCTGGATTTGGTTGGACCCTGACAAGCAATGTGTCACAGCAGACAAGGAAGTGTGAGTATGTTAAGGTAAAACTTTTCCAGAAAAATATTTTTTATTTCAGCTTTTATACTTATAATAAATATTAATGCAGATTTGAATTTGTAAGCTTACTAGCTGTTGATATTTTTATGTGATTTTGTGTTTGTAGAGCCATAAAAAAGCTGCTCATTTCAAAAACAAACCCTTTCCTCTCTTTGATGCACTATGGTCTACATTTGGAAAAGATAGAGCCGTAGGAAAAGGGTCACTTTCAAGCAATGATGTGCATGAGGTTGAAGCTGATACAGAGTTTGATATAATAACTGCTAATGTTGATAAAGATACTATAGATATTGGACTAGAGATGGATCCATCAATTACATTCTCTGACTATCCATTAGAAAACACAAATGTTCGCACTTCTAAATCTAAGAAAAGGAAAAGAACTAGTCAAGATCGTGATGAACTTTTGACTGAGGCACTTAAAGAGATGTTAGCAGCTACCTTCCAAGACATCAAGGATTCCTCTGCCCAATTAAGAGCTCATTTAGACAAGTTGGCTCGAGAAGCAATGTTAGATGCATGGAGAGAGGCTCTATATGATGAGTTGTTAAAGGTTGAAGATCTTACTGACAATGAGCGCACTGATGCATATCTTAAAATGATAGTTAATGATAAAATTGTTGTTGGATTTCCTAACCTACCAGATAAGGCTAAGGCAGCTGTGGTTCACAAAATACTTTATGCATAAATGTGTTATGTGTAGGT